GAAAATCCGCTTTTTTCACAGTGACTTCCACACTCGAACACACAAAAAAAGTCACACACAAATGCTCACTCACACTCTGCACGCAGTGAGCCAGCGGGCGAGCGAGGCGCTCCATTGTGGACGAGCGGAGGAAGCAAGGACGCTACATCCGAAACGACAAAGGTTGCATTTACACCTGTCACGGCCCCGTTTAATCATCTACCACTTCAAACAGGAGGGTCTGACGCTGGCGGCCTCCCAGCAGCCTTTGCTCCTGCAGCTCTGGACACGCTGCCATATAGAAGGGCGAAGAGAAACAGAACCTGTGCAGGTATAAAACTTAACTGTGTCTTCCATAAAATGAGAGCAAATAGGTCAATATTTTAAAGGCCCCAGCAGCAAGATATAGAGGCCATAAATAAAAGGCCGGGGCACAGGTGCTGTGGCTTTTTTAATATTGGGGGAAATTCAGAGAACTTTTCTCATAAATTGATCTAAATCCGAACGAACGAATGCACTCGTGAGTTGAGTTCTTTATTTTCAGGTTCATGAGAGAACTTTTTTACGAACAAAACGTCCAGTTTAAAGTTAGAGTCTCAAGTGGATTGTGCATAGTGTGTGCTTATGCACAGATAATCTGGTATAATAATGTATATAAAAATAGTTTTTCGAATTTTAAATAAAGATGCACTTTTTACTGTATATACTGACAGTTTTACAGCCATGCTTGAATCAAATATGGATACACAATTAATTAACCTTAAAAGTCTAATTTAATATCTACAGAATAAACCGAACCATTCTCACCCATATTGTCACAAAATGTTTGTGATTTAATCTGCATCTCAATTTTATATATTTATTTTCACATTGGAAGAATCTGTAATTTTTCTTCATAAAACTAAAATATTTGTCAATCAAGCTCCTCGCATTGTCCAACATAATAATAATAATTTAATCTGAAAATGCGTGTGTTTCAAATAAGGCCAGTGTATGATTTAAATAACTGAAACAGTGTATTCATGGAATTAAATAATTCTCATTATAAATCAGAGGAACAGTATCAGCAGATAAAAATGCAGTTTATTGGCGGTTTATTGGGAAGAAATGTGCATTGTATTTTGCAACATCCTTTCCGGTGAAAACGTCACCCTTTCAAATGGTAAGTATTTCCACAAATCAAAACCAGTGTAATTAAAAGCCGATTACAATACGTTTGGCTCTCCATACAACCACTCATTGTCCGAAAGAAAAAAAGAAAACAGCTGAGAGGTGATTAAAATGATGAATTGAGTCTCTTTCCTCCATGTTTTACATGAACCTACAGTCGTTTCCCATTAATCATAATTCAGACATCAGACACCTCCGTGTGTGTAGGGCGCGCCAAATGTCCACAATGTCTTTAGAGCCAAAGGGAACAGAAATCCAAACTGTTGCAGAAGCGTTTCTTTACAAAGAAACAAACGAGCGATCCGGCCACCTTGAAAAATTTAAAAAATGTCACCATCATCATAAGCATGAATTATTTATGTACAATGTGAATATGTTTTGTTAAATCTCAGCGTTACAGCCTCTTATCTCCTTAACATCGTGCACATGGCAGCAGTATTGGCTAATCAGGAGCTGCATATAACAAGGAGATAATCATTATCAAGTCGGTACATAAGGCACTGACACCTGGAGAGGGTCGACCATTAGACTCCTGCAAGAACCACACATTATTCAGATAAACCTGTGGCCTGTTAAAAACATTCATCAGTGAACAAACACATTATTACACATGGAAATAGAGGCATTATACACGTATTATTATTAGAAGTAGTAACAGTATTGTTGTGTTTTTTTTTAACGAAACTAAAATTGCTACAATCTGACATAACACCCAGGATTATTATTAAAATAGCAAAAAAGAACATTAAACTAACACTTTAATATTATTATGACATAATTCGTTTGATTATTACAATTATTCACATTGCTTCTTTTATTACAAGCGGCGTCTGTAATAACAAAATACGTGTTTTTCCTGTGAATTGATGGGGTAGATAATTGGATTAGAGGCCTGCGGCGGCCTCGGCTGCAGGCGCGCAGTGTTTGACCGTCCGCGGATAAACGTGGAGACAGGGCGGCGTCGTGCCACTTCTCCCCCAGCGGCTCCGTGTGTGTCGGAGCAGCACACTTTGACATCACTGCGAACAACACCTCGTTCATCAACTCGGGAGAGACTCAAGAGAAGAAGTTAGAAGGTGGAGGTCAGCGTGGGGGGGAGAGGGGGGGCGGGGGGAAGAGGAGAAGAAAAAACAACAGGATTCTGTATTCTCGCACCTCCCTGACAACTGCTCGCGGAGACGATGGGACGGGAGACAGTAGCGCGTTGGTCGGGTTACTCCCTGCGATAAAACCACGTCTCCAAAATGTCTCTGGCTGTCACCCGGTGCGCGCGCGTTGATCCTGTGTTTACATCTGAGAGCGGACAGAAGACCGAAGACCTGCGTGACAGCACGCCTTCGTGTGTACATATAACGATATATACATTATATATGTATATATATGTATATCCCTGAAAGAATTGGTGCACGCTTAGTGCGTAAAGCTGTGTGGGATCAGCGGCCTTATCAGATCCAGGGACTTCTGCTGAGCTTCATATCCACCACACCATAGAGACACAGGACATTTACTATCTCAATTGAGACACTCCTAGCAGCAGAAATAATATCATCTCAGAACTAGTGGCCACTGTGGTGAAGGCCTAAATATTTAAGGGGATTCAATCCTGCGTTTTCAGACACTTAACTCGAGAATGAGCTCTCAGAGATTCATAAATAAATAAATAAAATTAAACAAATGTTCTAATTATTAGTATTATTCTATGTAATAATATAGTATTGTGTATTATTTGTGACAGTACAAGAATAGTAGTATTGTGACCGTGATAGTGTGGGTTGTAGTAACAGTAATGGTTGTGATGGAGCTCGTGGTATTATTTCCTTTTTTCTCAAATGAATAATAAAAAATAGTAATAAAACAATTTGATAATGATGTTTAGCAATACTGCACGATGTTAAATTGGGAATCCAGCTCTGCAGCTGCAAGTACTGAATAGTAGATTGTCGAGAGGCCTCCAGTCTGCAGTAGAAGTTGATAAGCACATTTGCAATATTTGTGCAAAACTAGCAATTAATGGTGGAGTGCGGCTGCCTCCGTTTTTAAAAGTACTAATGGCATTAGTACTTTAAATAGGAAACGGTCAATAGTAAACCTACTGCAGGGACCCTTTGATTCATATTAGTAAAAGGTCCCACTGCCGCAGTAGTATTACTCAATGGTGGAGATGAGCTCAGCTCAGCTATCTCCCATCCAGACTGAATGTAAACACACACAAATACCTGCCGAATGGCTGAGAGTGTGATGAACCGGGGTCCCATTGGTTAACCTCGCTGATGAACGCGCACGAGGACGAGCCGTAAATGAGTGAATGATTCGATTGACACCTCTCTACTTTTGATCACTTCACTCGCCCTCGGATGTATATTGCGGCTGAACGAATCATCGCGGGTTCCAGTTTGTGCCGCTGCGCAGCTCGAGCCGATTCCCTCCCCAAATGAAAGCGTCTGACTTAAATAAACTAATTAGGAGGGGGGGGGGGGGGGGGGTTGATCACCGCGGTGAACATGCAGAATGGACAGAGAGGAGCAACGTTCGCCCGAATCAAGACGTTTAATTTTAATGGACATCAGACCGGGAGCCAAAAAAATTAAATACGAATAGACGTGTAAATGAACGTACGTTAGGTTGTCCCCTTTAATAAAATCCAATGGTCATTTTGATACAAATTTAATGTATTTGTAATAATCAGAAAATGGTGGAAGATGTTTTTTTTTTTTTTTTTTTTTACAAAGAACGGTGAAAGAATTATAGTATTATGACACTGAAAAATTGTTATGCTGTTATGTATTTTATGAAATAATTGGGTTATTAGTAAATGTCCATTAACGACGAAATAGCGGGTGATTTTGATTTTGTTGTGGGATAATAGTTTCATTGTTGTAAAATCAACCGACCATATGATTGACGTATAAATCTCATTAAGTAAAGTTAGTTTCCCATAATAATCCCGGGCTAAATACAATAATTAGTAAAATGAGTAAAATGTAGAATAAAGGAAGTAAAATGTAAAAAAATTCACTTCGGTAAAATGATAGAGAATACATTTAAAATGGACTGAATGTAGTTACATTTGATTTGAGTTTTAATTGACAGAAAGCTTTGAATAAATTTCAGAAACGCTGTCAAAAAGCATAATCATAGCAATATACTGAAATATGAAAAACAAATAAAACATGTTGAATAAATACAAAGAAAACAAGTAACAACGTGCGCTCCATCTCGCTCAGAAGCATTTAAAGCCCTCTGACACCTGGACGCATTTGTGCAGATTATTATATTTCATTTGAGACAAGTTTCCCCCCCCCCCCAAAAAAAAAAAATCTCTCTCCTCACCCTCCTCTCTCGCTTTTCCCCTCCGTGTGATTGATTGGAGGAGTTTAAAGGCTGGCACCCCCATCGCGCTCCTGAGCCCTCTCGCCCTCCACATGATTGGTCCGCCTCCCGCGGCCGCAGCCTCCGGGAGCGCCTCCTCCCAAAGACCTCCGTCACTCCGCCACAGCGCTTCCCATTGCGCGCAGGAGCAGCAGCGGCTCACTATTAGGAACTTCGTGCGACCGATGGCACATAACTAGCAAGGTATGTGGTGGAAAGCGACTAACGTCTCATCTTCTCCTCCTTCCCCCTCTCTCTCTCTCTCTCTGTCTCTCTCCCTCACTGTCTTTTCCTCCTTCGTTCCAAACTAAACATCTGGCGGCGCAGGACTTCAGCCTTCATTTCGGGGTATTATTTTATCGCTCCAGCCCGCCCGCTCTTATCTGTTTTTTTTTTTTTTTTGGGCTGGGGGGGGGGTGGTCTTATCAAACGGTTATCTCCTTTTGCTGTTGAAGACATATTGCGTTTTGTTTCCTATCTGCTACGTGTACGCGTGTGCGGTACGTGTGGGAGGACAGAGATTTGACGTGGACGCGTCCAGCGGCGCCTCTTTAAGAGCGCTCGATGGGCGCGCGGCGGTCACTGCGCGCGCCGGGCGGCTTTTTGTTGTCGGGTTTACAGATGTTTACGGACGTGGAAGGAATAGTCAAGATCGACAGTGGGTTTATTTTTTTTTGAATTTTCCGTTGGCGGAATGTGGGCCGCTGCTTTAAAGATGAAAGCGAGTTGTGCAACAGAGGAGGATTTTTTTCCCGGAAACTAATGGCGAGTTAAAAAAAAAAAAAAACGTGTTCGGGAAACAATTACAATCGCTTTTCAAGTGGAGCTTTTTCTCTTCTGATTCCATAAAATCCTAACTGTTTTTTATTTGAATTATCTGTTACAGGGTAGACTACTCCGTCACGATTTTTCTTCACCCCACGGTGTATGGAAAGGGCTCCTGGATGGACCTGGGCGAAAACAGCTGGTCCATGGTCAAGCGAGAAGTATCCAGCAGCCCAGGCTCGCCGGCTGAGCAGACCTACCTGTCCGGGGACAGCAGGAGGGACGGTCCCACCTCGGAGGAGCTGAGGACACCTCCTATCGACCTTGACTCTCTGGGGCACCGGCGCCCCGACGGCAGGTCACTACACTCCTACGTTCACTTCGGACACCACGGCAACACCCTGACGCACGCCGAGGACATCCCGCTGTTCACGGATTTAGACCAGGGCAGCAAACTTGTCCTCACCAGCGCGGCGCACAAGGCCAGCTTGCTGGTGGACCCGAGCGACATGTACCAAACACTGGCCATCGCCGCGGCGCAGAGCCAGACTGGATATGATTCCTCCTCCGGCGGTTATATGCACTCCAACCCGAACTCCCCCGTGTACGTGCCCAGCTCCCGGGTGGGCCCCATGATACCCAGCCTCTCCTACCTGCAGGCCGGCGGCACGGCGCAACCCAGCCACGCCGTCTCCAGCCACTCGGTGTGGTCCCAGTCGGCCCCGGAGAGCCCGTCATACAGCACCGGGAGCCCGCACGCCGCCAGTCGGTTCCACTACCCTCCGAGCCCGCCCATGAACAACGGCGCGCCCAGGGACACCGGCTACGGGAACACGCTGAACGTGAGCGGCAGGGACCAGTACGGCCTGTCCCGGTCCCTCGGTGGAACCTACGCGAATCCGTACTCTCCGTATGTGGCGCCGCAGCTGTCCCAGCTCCCCTCGCCTTGGACCGGGGGGCCTTTCGACAACACGATGCTGCACACCTTGCAGAGCAGAGGCGCGCCCTTGATTCGGGGACCAAACGGGGGTGAGAAAGGAGAAATGCCAGAGAGAATGCAAAGTAGGAAGGGTCGTGATGGGACAGTTTCTATTCTCGCAGTCTGGGACAAAGACTACATTCCTTTAATCGGGCGTGCAAATGCTAATGCGCCATCTGAGAAAGCATCGAAACTCAAATTCGTCCAGGCCAGAATAAAAAGTAACAACAAAAATAATCAAACCACCCAGAAGTGGGTTTTATAAATTAACACCGGCGAAATTGAGCTTAATTCTGCCAGAATATTCAGAAAAATGTTTGGCCAAAATATGCGTAACTGTTAAATAGTATACAAGTGTTCAAACATACAGACATGGATGGATGAGATCACATCTGGTTGGTTTCACTCATGATTGCTAGAAGTCCAAGAAGACAGTTGAACGTTCTAAAGTTTCGCGTTTGCTGACCGAAGTCTCTCTCTTTTCAGTTTCAGACATCCTCGACGACATGGGGGAGAGCAGAGAGTGCGTCAACTGCGGCTCCATCTCCACGCCGCTCTGGAGGCGCGACGGCACGGGCCACTTTCTCTGCAACGCCTGCGGCCTCTACAGCAAAATGAATGGGCTCAGTCGGCCATTAATTAAACCACAGAAACGGACGGTGAGCAAGGGGGGAGAGAGGGGGGGGGGCACTCAAGCACTCAATTTTCCACCCTAATCGCTTCAAACGACGGCTGGGGCGCATCGACGGTGACATCCATAGGTGTAAAAGAGAAAATAAACGCTTTGCCATTAATCAAGCTACAGCCCCCCCCCCCCCTAATCATTTTAGTTTAATCATGTAGGCTAACGCACATCTGCATTGAATCAAATAATTCATAAATTAACTAAATGTAAATAATATAAATTAAGGAAATGCATGTTTGGGAGATTTCTGTTTTTAATGTGTCATAATTTAGTTTAACCGAGGCCATTGATTTAAATAAATCAAACCTCTGCATAATTGTAACGTAATTAATCAAGCCTTTAATCACTCGTCGTATTCAGTGCTTGTGTTTGGTTAATCCAACAACCAGGGCAGATATTTTCCTGGTGCCATTGCGCGCATTACGCACAGTTTTTTTGACAGGGAACCCGAAGTCACTCCTTAAAAATAAACATCCTGTCAAAACCGAAATGGCTAAATGGCAGTTTATTGGAGATCATTATAGGACTGCTTAGGAAATAGGGCGTGAATGGCCGACGTGTAATTGAATTAGGGGAGTGTGGCACTAACTTTAAATACATTTTCTTTTAACGCCACAGCCTCCATTAATCACCACAACGTCCGTTACAGTTAAAGTGATTATAATCATGCATTCAATGTGTCTCCAGTCGACCTCCAGAAGAATCGGCCTGTCCTGCGCCAACTGTCAAACCAGCACGACCACTTTGTGGCGCAGGAACGCGGAGGGGGAGCCCGTGTGTAACGCGTGTGGCCTCTACACTAAACTGCACGGGGTGAGTCAACAGTTCACGGCGCATTTATTTCAGCCGCGGCGCCACACTCTGATGAGATCGAACGCAATCACGAATCCGAAATTGATAATCTGAAATCGATGATATGCGCAGGTGCCTCGGCCGCTCGCCATGAAGAAAGAGGGAATCCAGACGAGAAAAAGGAAACCCAAGACCTTGAGTAAAACAAAGGGATCCTCTGGTGAGTCACGGAGAATTATTAATCACTTTCATTGTGCGGGATTATCATCAAAACGTTTTTTTTTTTTAAACAATATGATCTCAACAATATATTTTACGTATATGTCTTTTAGGAAATAACAACTCTGTCTCTATGACTCCCACATCCACCTCTTCCTCAAATTCTGAAGATTGCTCGAAAACCAGCTCTCCCACGGGACAGGTGTCAGGGGTAAGACATGTCATTATTTATACTACCACCATGGTTTTATTTATTTTTTTACATTTATATGTCTTTTGAAAAATTCAACTCAAAATAGTTCAACTTATTATTTGTGTCTTTTGCCACATGAGTTGTTTTTTGAGATGAGATGTTATTTTTTGATGTCACCGTGCAGTGAGATCAGCTCTGAGCTAAAGCTTTTTCGGTGTAGTCTCGGTCCAAAGGCCAAACACAGAGCACATTCCGCCTTTCATTTCCAACACGCGTCCGACCACACACAGCTAAACTAATAGTTGACATTTGCCTTTGGTGTTGCAGGTCAGTTCGTCCGTGCTGTCCGGCTCGGGGGAAGGAAGCGGCCCGGCGGTGAAGTACCCGGGACAGGACAGCCTGTACACCAGCGTGGGTCTGTCCCAGCCATCAGATGGAGCGTCGGTGAGGGTTGAACCCTGGTGCCCGATGGCCTTAGCTTGAACATCTCAATCTCCGGGAGGACGGCAGACCCCTGGACCCTCTGTCTGGATACTACGTAGTGTGGAAGCGTTCGAGGGGGGGCGACGTTTGCTTGAGGGGGTGAGGAGGAGGGTGAGGCGACCTTCAGTCCCCCTGCAAGCGTGAGCCGAGCGTGGAATAGCTGGGATTGGTCTCCAGGTTGGTGTGGGGGATCCCGACGGTCAACCACCGGGCCTCCTCTGGATGGTTTCTGGACCTGCCGTGCACTCAATGTCTCATCCCATCCACCACGGCGCAGAACCAGATCTCCTTTAAAAAAAAAAAAAAAGAAAAGAAGTCATCATGTACATAATGGATTTCCTCTCCGAAGAAAAAGCTGTTGATTGGATATCACTGCTTCGTAAAGCGCTATATTCTGTGAGGACATTTTAGATTATTTTGTTTTTTTGTTTTTTTTTCCACAACTGGAATCATGCCATAAGTGCCAAGACAACTTTTATGAATCACAAGAGAAACATATTTATAAATCTTCCATTGTTGAAAACATGGCTATGATTGTTAATAAAGATATCAATATAGAGTAGAAGTTAAACCATTCTGATGTCTTCTTTTCTATTTTCTTTCTGGTTGTTTTTAATACAGTAGTGTTGAATCTGCACGTTTTCCACTGAAAGCTCTTACTGTATTTGACTGAAACTAGTTTGGTTTAAACAGGGTATAAATGACTGTGTCATCTAGTGGTTTTGTTTAATTATTTACTGAAATAATCCCGATAATCAACTCTTTCAGCCCATTTTTTTTATTCTGAAGTGTCAGCTCTGATTGGGTAGAACTAAGGTACTACAGAAACTATTTTACATGTGAAGCAGTTGGATGGCTTGTAAGCGCATCGGGAATAGCTGTGGGCCCACTGACCTTTACGTTACAATACATAAACTGCAAAAGAAGACTGTTGACTGTAAAAACTGACTCACTGTAAAATGTGTACTTTTCACAATGCATCTGCAGTTGTTGACTGAAAAAGGGAATGACAGAATCAAGCAAGTTATATACATAACAATGCGTTGTTTTCATCAGACTGCGCGTTCCATGTGGTACAGATTCTGAATTCAACGCTGCACGGGTGAAAAATGTAAATTCAAGAGGTGATGTTTCAATTTCCACACAGTTTGTTTCCATTTCCTAAAGCAGCGGTGTGGGCGGGGGACTCAAAAAGACCATTTTGGGGCATTTTTAGGGCAAAACACACGATCCCTGCGTCACCTCAAGACAATCTGATCAGTTACATGGGAAACTATAAAGGGTTATTTCTTACCTTTTTATTCCACAACTCGCTTCATCCGAAACGGGCATGCCTTTCATTCAGCTGGACTTATTTATTTTTTTGAAGAACCATGTTTATTTTAGCATAATTTCTTTGGCTGTTGTTTTGTTTTTTTATTTTTACAAGAAATTGTTTTATTTAAATTTCAGTTGAATAAATTGTTCTGGTGCAAATGACCTTACAGTTACCCCGTGTTTTAGAGAAAAATCATCAGTATTTTCAAGCTGTGGAGCATAAAAACGTTCTTGCATTTAATCCGTATTACTGTGGCATACCTGTGTGCGAGGCAGAGCATGTTCTAACTCCCCATTTCTTCCTGGCGAAAAGAATTGCGAGGGAAAATGAAGACTTTGTAATGCCAGGCGAGGGGTATCCCGGGGAGTGAAATCTAGAAAAAAAAAAATATTGCATCTTAAACCGAAAATGATTCTTGCAGATTTTTCATTTTTAGCTTTTGTCGGGCCTGTTTGTTTCCACGTTCTTCTCATGTTTCATTAAAGCGAAACCTTTTTTCTTCTGGACAGCTTTTTTTTTCTTTTTAAAGCTTAAAGCACAATCCGCTTTCCTTTGTCCTCTTGAACCAGCAGCTCAAAGTAGCTGTCACGATGTTTACTGTACTGCACGAATATGGCCTGTGAGTAATACCACATGAAAAGATTTTAAAGATGGCTCAGATTTATGTCTGAGCTTAGCGTTATCTGTCTGCTCTTTGACATATTGATTTAGCTGAGTTTATTGAGTGTGGAGGAATGTGCTACACGGCAACATCCACATCCACAGTTTGAGGATGGACGTTGCCATCGGGCCGATTTTCTTTTCTTCTGCAAAAAGATCCAACTTGCTCAACGTTACACGAGAAGGATGCAGCCGCTGCCATTTCTCTCGAGCAAAGATCGTCCATCAATCTTTTTTCTCCCTCCAATGTTAGTGTTGAAAGTGTTGAAGTTTGACTGTAAATGGCAAATGGAAACGTGCGGCATGCGTCCATTGGCTGCTGAGTGTTACACGAAAAAACAAGCAGGCCTTAAGGTCCTTGAGCTTCCACGCAGATAAGTTACGGAAACCACCTCCAGATATGTAAATGCAAACTAGTGTTGAACTCATAACACGAGCAAATATTTATAGGTTCCTGAATTTATGAGGTGGTCCTACCTTGGCACTGTCTGACTGGTATCCATGGTGCTGCGAGGGAGGAAACATAAACACAACAGCGCCGAAATACTCCCCGAATTCTCATGCGGATAGATGTTCGCATGAGCCGGGGGTCACATCAACCGCCACCTTCACACAGAGTGGCTCCGACGTATTAACTGTAAATGTACGTCACAGAGTAGCAGCTTTGATACGCCATCAAAAGCCGGAAAGAAGGGAGAGGGGGGAAATAGACGCAGACAGACAGACAGAGAGGGAAAACACAGAGAACTCGATGGCTGCACGGGGTTGAAAGTCCTCCCCAAAGTAAACAGAACAAGCTGATCCAGCGGACAGCCGGCTGCCGGGCCTGCATGCGGCCGCGGGGCAGCGGCGGCACAGATCGGCCTCGTGGCTCCCTCGGGAGATCTTTCCATGTTGCCTTTGAAAGGACAGCACCGCCGGCCCTGCCTCCGGAAGAGATGGGATCTCTGACTCAGCCCTTCTGGGTTTTCCTCGACAGACACGAGGGCGCATTCTGTGAGAATGAACAGCGAAGCGACGCTCGTGGAGTCTTTTCAGGTTTGGGAACCCCATCAAATGCAACATTAGTTTGTGCACATGAAGAATGGATTGTTCCGGATTGTTATTCTGTGATTTATTTGCCTTGTCAGATTCATGGAAAGCCAAACGGTGCTTTCAAAGCCACGTGCACACGGCATTTCGCCTTTCTCATTTAGCAAACATGTGCAATACTGAAAGAATAAACGCCCCCTTTACGACCCTGCCGTAAATATATCTCACAAAGCATGACTCACAGGAAGGGAAAATAATAAGAATGACGAGAAACACAACTCCCCCCTCTCGCTCTAGTAACAACACAGCAGCTAAAGCTAATTGCAAGTGAGATGTTTGGTTCCACAAGGAGATTACGTCACAATGTATAGTCCTTGTTTCCTCATTAATAAAAGAGAGTGTTCCTGGGACGTTTGGCTGTTGGAACAAGTGACACTGGTGGAGAAGAGTGACTGTATTACATTGCGTGTGTGTGTTGTAAAGAATGCAGGAAGTTGTAATAGGAATATGGCCTGATGGGAGGAGATGTTATTGAAGGTTAAAACGGGAAGAAAAGACAAAAGAAAAGCGCTTTATCGTGATGAAAAGGGGGGGAAAAAAGCCATCAGAAGCTACAGTACTTCAACCTAAAAGAGAGCAGTCCGGCTGTTAAAACCTAAAAGTACTGTAAAGTGAGAAGAATGCATTTTCTAATGACAAAGAAACTGTTCTTAACATGGATCCGTCACATTATGGTCATGGTGTTTTCTCTGTATCTCCCACTACAAACAGAGACAACAACAACACGCAGCGTTAAACACAACATGGGGCCTTAGAACTGTTTACCTGGAATGTGGAATGTTGCTGCCCCCCAATAAACTAAGAGAGACAACAGCACGATGATGACAGGGTGAGGAGACGGGTGCATTTTTTGGCCTTGAATTTCACTGTTTTTGTGAGAAGGTGACCTTCCTCCATCATGTTTTTTCACATTTGTTCTTTGGTTGTCCTCCATCCGTTAGTCATGAGGACATGACGCTGCAGGGAAGTAACGCATGCATGTTTGTGTGGATACATTCAATATTTTAGAGGTCTGGTAGGACACACAGTAAATAAAGCTCTACTCTGATATGCAAACATTCAGGACAAATAATATGCGGTCAAAACGCCCGGCCTGGCTGTGAAAAAGCTGCTCGCGTTTTGTGTTTGTTCAGTCTGTTGTTCCTCCTAAAGGTGCAGACTGCAGGGAACTTTGCGCTGTGAGTGGCGTGCCAAACTGGCACAAACACGAGGTCATTGTTAAGGAGATGTTGCAGACAGTTTGCTTTTGAATGAGGCCAGTGTGGAGGCATTTCTGTTCGCCGATCAATCATTTACGATTATTTAAATTCAAATAAAAGGGCAGAACGCAGAGTTCTCCTTTTCCACAACATTCAACGCACATTTGTCTTTCGCCTGTTTGTCCCCACACATTTGAGTTGTTGTGTAATAGTTTTTATAAGACGAGGTATTTATTTTTTGTTCATGGTGGAATTATTATTATTTGTTGGATTCGTCGTGTTTTGTGAGGGACTGACATGTGGAGTGATTGCACATCAGTAAATAAACAGGATATGCTGAAGCAGGCCAGCGATGTTTTTAATAAATATAGATGTATGTCTCTATGGAGGGCATGTGAGAGGGGGGGGGGTGTTTGTGGTCTGCAAATAGCCATCTTGCATGCACCTTAACTCGCAGTGAGGTTTTAATATTACATGAAGTTTTGATTCCACCCAGTTGAAAGGAGAAAGTCTTTTATGCATTGTCAATAACATCTATATTTGGACTGAAATATTCCTGCACGAATACTATTTATTTGTTTTCAGTTAATAGCTCTTTCAGTTTCTGAAGGAAACTTAATTTAATTACCAAGCCCTTTGCCTAAAGGGGTCTGTGCTTTGAAAGTCAGCCACTAAATCATGTAACTCATCTAAGTATTTTCTGCTGCGGCGGTCCAAGCAGTACGCGGAGGATTCTTTGGAGTTCAATGCAAGGTTACAGCTATCTCTCCTCTCCTACCAGCCCAACCAGGCAGCCTTGTGTCCAAGGCGTTTTGAATTAGCTCGCGGCGCTCTCGTGCATGCATGGGAACCCGAGCTCGCCGCCAAATGCAATACTTCCCCGAGTATTCCTGTCGGAGCGCCGGCCTCTCAAAACAAAACAGTGAAATCACAGCGGGGCTGCTTTAATCAATTAAACATATGTCAACAAGCAACGTGCTAATCGCTACGTCGACAGGGAGAGCAAATTCTCACCTGGCGATGCAGGATCGCAAGTCAGAACTAAGTTCATTTTGAGAAATACTTTTGATTCAACTCTGGGTACATTTTTTCACTTTTCCATTGTTGTTGTCTGTATCGTTCAGGCCTGGTGTGAAACGGACAAAAAAACAACAAGGGCGGTCAGACAGAATATTCTTTTGGTGATGTACGTTGTGTTCTTGTGTTTGTGTGTCTGTGTTTGACTTGGACGAAGAGGTGCGGGGGGGGGGCATTAACTGACTTGATCCAGACCCCAGAGTCTCCGGTTTTCTACAGAAATCTGCATTGAGTCATCGCTTTAGTCATTCGGGTCAACCGAGAGCTGCGAAGGTTTGGTGGGATTTTGCGGACGCGGCCTCTGAGAGGTCGGGGCTTCGCGATGAGGTATGCTTGTGTAAACAACATTTGGCTCGGTGAAGACTTTAAAACCAAATACATTTTCATCTAGAGCTCGAGGCAGCAGCCAACACAGTTAGGACGGGGGGGAACGCAGGATGCAGCAGCTCTCCTGTCCGCTGATTGGACGTCTCTCTGACGAACAACTCCCGATAACCAAATGAGCGTCTCAAATAAATAACAGGCTTGACGCATCGCAGGCTCCAAAACCGGGGGGGAGACAGCTGCTCATTAAAACCTCACCAGGGCATTGAAGTGGGGTTTTATTGACTGTACGTTGTATTTCATGTTCAACATACATCGTTTAGATAAAATGCAAAGCCAACATCTTAGGGTGAAGACTATCACAACATTTGGTCCGCCGGATATGACGGCACGATACTCTTCAAAGTGGTTGTTGGGAACTTAAATGTAGTGAGGTTGTTTAAATAAAAGGTAAATAAACACCCAAGCTAGTTAACATAATTAGAAGAGAAGGTGAACTCGAACCAAACCTCTACCAAAGCGTGCGCCGCGAGAATTCCACATAGCCCCGCTAGCGCCAGCTGCCGCTAACGAGCTAGCATGTTTTCCGCTGCATGGCTTTCTTGAATCAGCGGTTTCAGTTTCTTCACAACGGACGTTTCAGATTGTCTATCTTTGATTGAGTGGGTTGAATAATTGGTGTAGTTATCGGAACTCTTGCTATTGTCATTGTAAATGCAGAAAAGTCTTCCAAATATGATAAACAAAAAGTAATATGTAGATATTGGAGCGAAGTTCACATACTGCAAGTATTTGTATTGATTACAGCATTTACTGTTTTTAAAATGAGGGTAGGCTGACTTTTCAAGGACATTTGTGTTTATTCATTGATTTACTAATAACAGAATCAGTTTAAAGAACAACTCTCCTGCCACCGTTACATGTTTTATGTTTTTTCTACAGACTGGCTGCAGCTCTCTGTGACGCGTTTCCTGAAGGGTTACAGGTTCACACTGACGGGTTTCCTGTGCAATTAGGGATGAGTGGCGACACTACAAACCAGCTCACTTTTACCAGTTTATTATTTTTACCTTTTACAAGCTTGTTTTCACCCTCTACGATTGTCTGACAGCCCGCAGTCGTTGCCCCCCCCCGTGCACCTATTTTCAAAATCG